ACGACTAACTGTGAGTCGCTGAAAACATTCAAATTCCTGACCTTAAGTTCTTTGGCAAGCTTTATTCCTGCCAGCAACGCTTCATATTCGGCCTCATTGTTCGTGGCTGCGAATTCAAGCCGAAGCGCTTGGCTTAAGGCTGTACCTTCTGGTGTCTGCAGTTTGATCCCAATGCCTGCACCCATCTGATTTGAGGATCCATCAACGAAGAGTTTCCATAAGCACTTACAAAGATCCTCCTCCACGTCTTCTGAATCACATTCTAGTAGAAAATCTGCCACCGCCTGCCCTTTGACTGCTGTTCTAGGTTCGTATGTGATATCAAATGAGCTTAACTCTATGGCCCACTTCATCATTCTTCCGGAGAGATCTGGTTTGTGCAGGATTATTCTGATAAGGAAAGTGGTTAGAACAATAATAGGATGGGATTCAAAATAATGCCTGAGCTTTCTTTTCGCATGCACTAGCGAGAGTATCACCCGCTCTGCCTTTGAATAACGCCTTTCGGCCTCAGTCATTGTTTTGCTAACATAGAACAATGGATATTGCTTCCCTTCTGCGTAGCGGATCAGAACGCCACTTGTTGCGATGCTGGATACTCCGAGATACAGAAACAGCTTCTCGCCCGACTCTGGAGCTGATAGTACCGGAAGGTTCTGCATATATTTTTTCAGAGCAGTTAACGCTAGGCGTTGTTCATCTCCCCAAACCTGCCTGCCGTGGCTTCGGATTGTGTCAAAAAATGGTTTGCATCGATCTGACAATTTGGAAATGAAACGGCTCAGTGCAGCAATCCGTCCCGTAAGTGTTTGCACCTCTTTGATTATCGTTGGCTCGGCATTCTTAGTCAGAGCATCTGCTTGGGCAGGGCTTGCCTCGATACCTCTGAGATTAACCACGTGCCTTAGGAATTGGCCTGAACTTACACCGAACGAGCACTTGGTCAGATTGAGCTTCATCCCATACCGCCGCAAAACATCAAACACGCCTCGAAGATGCTGCACATGATCGGCTTTCTTCTTACTTTTGACCACCATATCATCAATGTAAGCCTCCACTGTCTTCCCTATTTGTTCCTTAAAAATCTTACTAATAAGTCTTTGGTAAGTTGCCCCGGCGTTCTTTAGTCCGAACGGCATAACTTTGTAGCAATACGTCCCGCGTTCAGTAACGAAAGAAGTTTTTTCTTCATCAGCGGGGGACATGGGGATCTGATTATAACCCGAATAAGCATCTAAAAAGGTCAAGCGTTCATATCCAGTTGTTGCATCCACCATCTGATCAATCTTTGGCAGCGGGAAGCTATCCTTCGGACAAGCTTTGTTTAAATTGATAAAATCAATGCATACGCGCCATTTCCCATTTTTCTTTTGCACAACGACCACATTCGATAACCAGTCGGGGTAGTGCACTTCTCTTACGAACCCCGCATCAAGCAGCCTATCAACTTTCTCGGCAATAATTCAGTTGCGCTAGGGGGCAAACCGTCGCTGCTTCTGTTTTACAGGTTTTGCATTGGGATTAACGTTCAAGGAATGACAGGATACCGAAGGATCGATCCCGGGCATGTCCAGGTGACTCCATGCGAACACATCTGCGTTTTGAGACAAAAAATCAACTAATTCCTGCTTTTCCTCCTCAATGAGTCGTCCCCTACTCTGGTTGTCCGTTCCGGTCGGAACTGATCGATCTGCACATCAAGCAAGGGTTCTTCAGTCAAGCCCTTTGGTTCCTCCTCTCCGTTCTGCCTGGAGGGAGGCTCCTGTAATTGCTATCTCGGACTTACTGAACGAATGGGAGCTTTTCCCTTTCTGGCATGTTTCAGCGTTACAGAGTAACATTCTTTAGCTGCAACTTGGTCTCCATGAATGTCAATCACTTTGGTTCCGTCTGGTGCCAGGCATCTCATTACCTGATGCAGAGTGGAAGGAACACCTCGAACCCTGTGGATCCACCCTCTGCCCATCAGAAGATTGTAAGAGGGATAAATTTCAACAACTACAAAGGTTTCCATCAAAACCCTCTCGGCAGCATATACCGCTACCTCCACTGTGCCGACGGGCTCCACTCGCTTTCCATCAAACCCTACTAGTGGATTCCCGGTGGATTTTAGCTGATCCTGTTTGATCTCGAACCGATCGAATGTATCTCTTGGCATGATGTTCGCACTACTTCCAGGGTCAATTAGAACTTTGCGCACCAAGCATTTGGCCACTGTCAAACTTACGACCAGCGGGTCCTCATGAGGGATCTGAACACGCAACAAGTCTGTCGCGTCAAACTTTATCTGCGTTGATGCGCTCTGCTGGTGCAGAGTGCTTACACTGCATATCATTCTCTTCATCCGTGCCTGACGAAGGCGTGTTCAAAGCAATTCATCTGATTCCTCAGCAGGTTCTGGCCGACCGTGAATTGCATTAATTACTCGAACTGGTTGCGTGTTGTGAGAATTCGACTTCTGATTCTTCTTCACATGCTCCATTGGCCGGTTCTGCTCCACCGCTGGTCCTTGAATATAACTTGCGAACTCCCCTCTGGCTATCAGCATCTCTACCTGTCTCCTTAGGTTCCTGCATTCGTTAGTCTGGTGGCCAAAATCAGAATGAAATGCACAGTGTTTAGACTGATCCCTCTGTTCGAGAGGTTGCCTGATTGGTAAAGGAGGTCGGAACTTATCTTTATTTTCTTGGTACAGTCTTGCTAGGGTAACTTTCAATGAAGTAATCAGCTCTTCCTCTCTGGGCCTCTTCTCAGATTTCCACGAGGAGCGTTGCGATTGGACCTGTTTTTGCCTGATCTTTGCTTTGGTCTTTTCTTCCGTGGATATAACGGATGTCTTCCAAGCGTTTGCCGCTTCTTCTTCTTCCAAGCGTACAAATCCATCGGCTCTTTTGTTGAGTTCATCCATAGTCCTCGGTGTGTGGACCACCAAACTTGTGTGGAACGGGGTGCCACGATTCATAGCTAGAATGAATGCTTGAACTGTCGTTGAAGGATGGCATTCAATAACCATGCTCTTGGTAAGGTTAAACCTGGTTAGGAAAGCCTGGAGACGCTCTTCAGCGTGTTGCTTCATTGTGAATAAGCTCGAAATATCTTTCGCTGGACGCTTGTTTCCATAGTATTGGCTTATGAACCGATCGCACAGGCTTCGGAAACTATCCACCGAATCCCTCGGCAGGTTCTTGAACCAATTCAGAGCTGGTCCGACTAGACTCGTAGGAAAGCACTTGCACATCAAAGAATCATTCTCAGTGTTTAGAGCCATTTTCAGCTGGATGTGATACACATGATCGATCGGATCAGTCGTTCCGTCGAATATAATGAAAACGGGCATGGAAAATTTCCTCGGACTCGGAGCATTCAGAATCTCATCGGTGAACGGTGAATCCACCGTTCGAGCTGCTGAACGGAGTGCTTCATTCTCCCTCTGGAATCCCGCGGCTACTCTCTGGTCTACTGATCTCCTCTCTGAGCTGTGATAGTCGAACGTCATCATGGAAGGCCGGTAGGTCGGATCGAATGATCTATCCTCAACAAAGTCCTTACGCCATAGAGGCATAGCTTTCTGACGAATCAACTCTGTTGCTTCACCTCGGCTGAGCGTTTCTTGATGTGGATCAAAAGTCATCGCTTCGTTTCGCCTGATCTGCTCACGCCGTGGATCTATGTAAATCGATCATTCACGATCATCCATACAACGAAGATTTGGCGACAGACCGTCTCGCCGGATTTCCTCGCGGTGAGGATCAACTAGATTGTTTTCAACCTCTTCACAGTGATGTGCTGCATCGGTACGTGCACCTTCTTCGCCTACCGGAAGTGGTCGTGGAATTACTGGAGCTTCTTGACGCTGTATTTCATTCCTTAGATCTGCATTTTCTCTCCGGAGAGCTTCGATCATGTTCATCAACTCATCGAGTTTCACTTGCTGGATGTTCTCAACCATATTAGAGTTGTCACCCCCTATCATGATTCCGGATCGAAGCAAAGGCATGAATTACGAACTTCGAAACAGATCTAAGCGTTACCGATGCAAACTCCGCTAGATCTGGGCTTAACTTTACCGAATCGTGATCGCTGTTTGCTAGATCTGAACTTTTCTAGCTTCAAACTCGTCGAATCTGACTGCAACTGAGCAAATCGCAATCGCGTCCTTCCAAAGCAAATGCCTCAAAATCCACAATAATCAAGAATTCTCTCGGAGCAAACTACAATCTCACTGATCTGGATTCAACTTCCAGAAGTTACACTGCATATTCACAAACTCGATTGAACTAATATGGTACTGATCGACCTCAAATTGATCTTCGTCCTCGATTCCCATAGACGGCGCCAATTGAAGATACAATATTCCGTTTCATCTCTCTCACTCTTACTCTCTCTCTCTCTCTCTCTTCTCCCTAGCTTCCTTTCTACTTTCCACCCTTCATGGTCTATTTATAGGCCATGACCCTCTTTTGCAGTTAACCAATTACATTGGGCTTATAGCCCAAAGTTCTCTTCCTTCTGGGCTGGGTCTTGTAATGGGCTTGACCTTCCTCGGTGGACCCCCCACGTTCGGCCCACTCCAGGGTGCTTTGACATGGATCCTTCTTCAATCATTCGACCCGATCTCGTTTCCGCGATCCATATCCGGCCCATGCCACTTGCCGCATCCTCATGAATATATTCCAGATAACAAAGGATTGTCTTTTTTTTCAGGACAAAAATGTTATATTAAAAGTTAGAGGTGCGAAGGTTAGAAGTCAGACTCCCAAAAACAACGGGGAACAACTAACTACGAAGGAATTCGCAACAAAAGATTATTACAATATCAAAATTATGGCAATCAAAGGAACCTAAAGCTTTAGACATAGAGAGCATTTATCACTTGCGAAAAACAAATATGGCATTTATTAACAGATATGGGTTGCCACTCCACTGTTGACTTAATTATAAGTATATGATCTTCCTTGAACCATGGCTTCTTCAAAATTCCATCTCCTCCCACCATGCAAATACTTGATACTCCTCAAATGAGTCCGTCCTACATTGCCATGACCATGACCACTTTTCTCCTCCTCCTCATCTCAGGCACGGAAGCTGTGATCACCAAACAAACAATCATCAAACAATTTTTAGCTACTCATAACGCAGCCCGGTCTACTGTAGGTGTGCAGCCACTGACATGGGATGCACGTCTAGCGCGATACGCTAAACAGTATGCTAACCAGAGGCGTTGGGACTGCGCATTGCAGCACTCGAATGGGCCTTATGGAGAGAACATTTTCTGGGGGGGTGGCAGCGAGTGGACACCGGCTGAGGTTGTCGAATTTTGGGTTTCAGAGCAGAAGTGGTACAACTACTCGTCCAACTCGTGTGCCCAGGGGCAGATATGCGGGCATTACACCCAAGTTGTGTGGAAGACAACAAGAAGAGTTGGGTGTGCTAAGGTGGCTTGTTTTGGTGGCCGAGGTGTTTTCATGACATGCAACTATGACCCTCCTGGGAATTACAATGGTCAGTGGCCTTATTAAAACCTTACCCCCAAAAAGAAAGAGAAACCTTATTGAAATAATGTTTTATGACAGTTTTATCATTTATGTGAAGCTTACTACAAATACATTGGATGTATATGAACTTATAATATATGGGGACTAATGTGTCTTAGTGTATGTATATATGGACTTTTTGCATCTTAGAATATATATATATATATATATATATATATATATATATATATATATATTAACTAATTGCATCTTAGAATAAAATCAATATTTTATCATAATTTATATATAAAGCTCACGTTTCAGAAAAGACAAGCCAAATTTCGACCATGTACAGCACATAGACTACTACATGCCCGAATTGTATATTAACAAACGAGCCTTCATCAAAAATAAAAATTGAACTCAATTACGTGGCTCTCCTTGCAAGAGAAATATTAATAAGCCAGTCAGACATACTGCGTTATTATTATATAAATAAAAACGCATCATCAGCGTTTTTTCAATATTTGTACTTAAAAGAACTCTTTGTAACATAAACCATTAAATTAGGAGGGCATCCATTACCACACATGGGAAGATAATTAAATGGGAGGAGGTTGGACGATCTTAAAAATTGAATTATTTTTTTTTTACATAATTAATAAAAATTATTTATTTGGATATTTGTGACTCACTGAGCTATGCAGAATATAAATTAGAATTTCAAATGATTTCAATGTTTGTATCTATTTGTCCAAAACTATTCGATTCATCCGTCCAGCAATATGTTACATCATTCTAAAAAATGAGAGTGATGATGATCAGTGATAACGTTACTATAGTTGCACATCATAATCATTATTCAGACTTTCATTACTTCAAATTTAAGTGAGAGAGAAAAAAAAAAAAAGAAGAAAAACACATATATGTAGTGGCACTAAAAATTCAGACCTTGACTTTCACGATGAAGGAAAAGAAACTACTTAAACTAATGTCATGCTCTGCCATGGGATGTTAAGCCACGCAGGTGACAAGCGCTGCAGAGGGAGGGTTGGGTGAAGCCCACCCCCAAAAAAAAAAAAAATTACTATTCTACTTTTACCCTAGCCCAAAAAATAAAAAATAAAATTAAAAAAATAATAATATTAACCAAGTCCAAAATTAGTCCACCCCATTCAAAAATCCTAAATCCGCTCACTGAGTAGGACGCTGCATAGCAACGATAAGAGTTTCTAAAATTCTTCATAGTAGTATGGAAGGTTCTAGAATAATGTAGTTATGTGTAGAATTAAGTACATTGTAATTAAAGTGTGGAGAAGATGGGAGAAAGTTCTAGAAGAACAATCTCCATCGTAGATTGGAGTGCATCTTAGCCGTCCGTTAGGGATGAGGGAGTAAGTTTCATTTGTAAGGTAGAAATACCAAGAGTAGAAACTGCTAGTGTGGAGTAAGGAGCCACCAAGAGTGTGAGCGTGTAAGTCTTCTTTGTAATAATAAAAGCATTATTTCTTTGCCAACCAATTGTGCCAAGTGAGTAGAGGACGAGGGCCACTACAACACTAGTGAGTGCACAAGCGACGAGTGTGTTGGCGAGGGGGTGCACGGGAGTTAGGCTGATCAAGACCTTGCACGAGTAGAAGCGACGCCTTGATTCCCCACGGGAGTGACTAGAGTGGTGCTAAAAGTCTAAGCCGGTGTTGTAAGTATTCACACACTCGGATATATACTATACATATGATTGAAGAGATGAATTTTAAACATGTGGGTTGATCCACCTCGGATATATACTATACATATGATTGAAGAGATGAATTTTAAACATGTGGGTTGATCCACCTGGTTACATATATCTGACACAACACAGAGTGAGTTGGAGCTGCTTGTGCCTGAGTCAACAAAAACAACTTGGCACAAATAGCATATCTAAGTAAATCTAAAATAAAATGCCAAAAAGGAATTCATTGGATAAATATAAAAATGCTGAAAACTTGAAGTAGAGTGAATGATTCTTATTTAAAAGAATGAAGGACATATATATATATATATTGAGAGAGAGAGAGAGAATAGGTAGATTCCGCTGATTTAGGCGGCATTGAAGGCCACCGTGGATTTCGGTGGTGGCATTTACGAACAACACAAATTCTCACTTGACTTTGAAAATAAATAGCATCATCTGATCTACCAAACACACAAAAGGAACCATTCAATGCGCTTCCAAGTTAGTCTTTATGCCCCCATCAGATCAAAATGGAAAAGGAACCTAAGTCATCAATATGCCTTCAATTTTCCAACTCCTCCACTCGAAAAGGAAGATCAAAACATGATCATCTATCACAACTCTTCTTCTTTTTTCACTTCTTATTTTGTAACATCGTAACTTATTATATGTGCTTATTGTGACATATAAACATCATAGCAATGGGGAAAATAAATATTCATCAAGTACTCTACCTCTCTTGTTTCCATCAAATAAAACAACTTCTTGTGTGACAAAATGAATACCACACTGAATGTGTATTAGTGCATTAAAGAATGAAATCTTTAGGTGTGTATATATATATATATATATATATATATATCCATCCTACAGAACAGACTATTATTATAAGAATAAAAATATGCTAGCTTAGAATTCAACCTTTATCCCCTACAAAAACAAATGTGGTAATCATTATCGAACATGGGTGCCACCCCATAGTTGACACTTTAAGCCCCCCAATCCAACTACTCTTAGGTTATATCTTATAAATATGTATGATTTTTCTTGTACAATTGCTCCCTAAAAAATTCATCAACCAAATACAAGGGTCTCCCTCGAATGAGTCCGTGCTACGGTGTCATCACCGTTTTTCTCCTCCTCATCGCAGGCACCCATGCCATCACCAAACAGAGAAGCTACCTAAATGTAATCAACCAATTTTTGGCTCCTCAGAATGCAGCACGGTCTGCCCTACGTATGCAGCCATTGGCATGGGATGCACGTCTAGAACGCTATGCTCAATGGTATGCTAACCAGAGGCGTTGGGACTGTGCTTTGAAGCACTCAAATGGACCTTATGGAGAGAACATTTTTTGGGGGAGCGGCAGTGACTGGACTCCGGCTCAGGCTGCCGCTGCATGGGTTTCAGAGCGGAAGTGGTACAATTACTGGTCCAACTCGTGTGCCGATGGGCAGGAATGTGGGCATTACACCCAAATTGTGTGGAGGGCAACAGGGAGAGTTGGGTGTGCCAGGGTGAATTGTTTTGGTGGCAGAGGTGTTTTCATGACTTGCAACTATGACCCTCCTGGGAACTACATTGGTGAGAGACCTTATTGAAATCATATTTCGTGAAATTTTCTGTAAGAGAGTTCAACCACACATATATATATATATATATATCAAAATCATACCATATGGTGGCCAGAGATGTGGCCTTTTGGTGATTTGAGTTTTCTTTCGTTTTTCTGTAATTGCAAATCATTTCCAACACAATTTGGATTTAAGCTCACCATATAGGGAAAAAAAATAGGCAGTTTTTTTTCCACGATGCTATCGAAACAAGGCATGTGATTATAAGAATGTTCACATCCCTAATATCTTTCAATAAAACCAACTTTTCTGTTGATGATATAATGTACATTTTAACGTTCTCAAAGATAAGAATGCAGGTGCGTGTTTAGATTCTTTAGAATGCAGTTTTCGAGATGACTCTTGCCAACTACTATATTTTCTTCCTACTGTTTCAAAAGATCAAAGCTCAAACTCATGTGTAATTCACTTCTAAAGATGATAATCGACACTCCACTAATCTCCAGAGATGATTTCATCCTCTCTTGTTTTCTCTCTCTATATCTGCAGTCATTCTATACTCATATATCTAAAACGAAAAAGAAATACTCCATTCCCAAAGCATCCCCAACTTTCATTACAAACAAACAGTAGAAAAAAGAGATTATGGGATTTCACTATACTATATCAAAAGTAAGCAATGACCACAGCCTATATGTGCAAGCTAATTTCCTTCGATTTGCAAGACAACAGCAATGAATACAGTCTAACCATACTGTAGCACTCTGTCCTCCAAGCAAATCACATACAGATTAAACACACAAAACATGTCAAACTTGATTTTTGCTAACTCAATATAATTGGACACTGATTGATCACTAGCATGAGTGCTAATTCTAGAGATGTCTATATCATCCCCAAGCAATAAACATAGCACAGATGTTTGGTAAGAAATGTTAGATATGGGATTTAAGCCTCCTATTCAGATGTTTCTTATCATACCCAGGCAATATACATCCCCATCTTCTGAATTTTCTTTGAAAAGCGAGTGGATGGGGCACAAATGTTAGATGGTACCAGCAAATACTCCGAGAGATGTTGGACATGGGATGCAACCCTCCTATCCAGATTTATTTATTTGTTTATTTGATAAAAGCCTCCTATTCAGATTTTCAGCATTCTTAATCACTATTCTTGATGGGAGAAAAGAGGTATACAGTTCTAACACAGTAAATTGTTTGCCAAAGGTTTCATTTGGCCAAATCCATTCAAAAGAATCTGAAAGTCAATCAAGTCCTATTCTTTTCAATGTCGTACGAAGGGTTTTTCTCAAGAAAATTGGGGCCAGGGAATGGAATAAGTAGCATTTAATGATGAGGTTTGAGTGTCAAAAAGCTAAAGCATTCCACTCAAGAAAAGCAATCATGTAGCATCAACACTGGCATGAAAAAAAAACAAAGACACCATATAACAAGATTTTGAAAAATTGGACGGATATATCAAGGAAATGACAACAAAGAATTATATAATATATTTATATTACTTCGTCTAGGTGAAAACTCGAGTTGATAGGTATGAGAGCAGGGGCTCACGGCTAATTCAGGCAAAATAATTTCCAAAGTTAAGCCTAAAGTTTATGTTGATCTCTAGTCTACCCATCCCAGCATCCCACCTACACCACATACATGAAAACCATCAGACTGAATATATTTCAACTTGAGCACTACCAAGAACCAAGAAAACTTTTGCAGCACTACAGTAATATAGAGACAAGCCAGCAAATCATGGCACTTAGCATAATACTGCCCTTAAAAGTGTTTTTAAAACTCTACTTGATCCGAATTTGCTAGCAGATTCTTGACCAAAAAAAAAAAAAATTCAAAGTACAACATAACCACTGTAATTCTATAGTTGGAAGGTTGAATAATAAGGTTATACTAGTTTTGATTGTTGAATTGAACCTACTAATTAAAGTTGCATTCCTAAAAATTCATTTTTGATCGAAAATTGCCCTGTATAATAATCAATAGAATCATGCTTAGTATGTATCACATTTGATCAGAGCTCCCTGTATCATATCAGAAGTAACCAAAAAGATAACCAATCTACATCGTCGTCATCATCATCATCAACAACACTTCAATCATAGAAGGACTCCATATCTACTAAGACGTAAATGTCATTGACAACTATGCACAAGTTCAATCAATGAATTATTGAAAGCTTTAGACATGTGATTAGAAAGAGAGAGTTTTAGAGAAACTGCCCATCTATATCTCACCTGTCACGGGAACAGATAGCCTCATTTATTTTCAATCACAGAGCAGAAAACAGGTAACTGATCGGAGGCTTGAGACGATCCGACGCGGAAACATTATGCGAATTGTAGTTTTTGGGCTCAGATGAAGAACCTGGCTCCCCATGGTATGGCCTCTCCGGCGCAGCCAGAACATCACGAATGCCATGAACGACAAGCCAATCGCTGTAATACATGTCCGGAACTGTCACTGCAACTCCATTCAGCATCAATTCATCACCGGATCGAGTAATGTTCACCACGAACCCATCCAACAATGTCCTCAACATCGTTCCATTTTCGAGACTCTCCAAACCAGTTCTTGAAACCCTGCAGGGAAGCACATGGCGAAAGAACAGGGATGGATAGACGGTGAAATTACCGATGTGTCCCTTCATCGCATCGTCTCTGGGAGCAAACACAGTCAACATCGTTGTCTCATTACGATCAGACGGCGGCAATTGCAGGTCAAGAAACGAAGCCATCACAGAGTAACCGTTGGATCTCAGTGTTCCAGAAGCTTCGTTGAATCGACGAACACCGGACAGAGTGCTCGGATTGTTCGTTGATACTACGCATGTGAGATTGGGGCTAGGGTTTTGAATTGGTGCTGAAACATTGAAATTCGGATTGAAGAAGTTGTCAAGTCCGAAAATGACCAATGATCCGTCGTCGTACAACTCCGATCCATTGATCTTGACGTTGTTCAACGAAATCAGCTCATCGGAAGCTGATGTGGTGACGAACAAAGAGCGATTGGGGAGCAAAGTGGGGATCGGTGTTCCGTAGCGTAGCGAACGGAGGGCTTGGAGGGAGAAAGCGTGAGGAGAGAAGTGGTATTGGAGGAGAGAGAGAGGAGGCTGGCCTGATTGAGCGAATGCAGTGTCCGGAGGACAGAATATGGTGACGGATGAAGTGTTGGAAATTAGGGTTTGCGCGACGAGCTCGACGGTGAGAGCCATGGCGACGAAGCCGGAGCGGGAGACGATTCTGGTGGCGTTGAGGACTTCGTCAATAGGGAGGGAAGAGATGAGAGAGAAGCGAGAGAAGAAGATGATGATGATGATCAAAGAGATGAAGAGCAACTTCAGTTTCGCCATTTTTTTCTCTCTCTCTGAAGCTTCTGGTTTTTGAGCGAGAGTTAGTTCTGTCTACAGTTAGAAATACGTAGAGCGTGGTGGCAAGGTTTTGGCGGGAAAAAGGGGGGATAAACATTTTTTATTTGAAATCTAAAACAATCTCTATGCAATGAGTAAAATTACTTAAATTTTCTACCTTTCACTTAAAAATTACAAAAATAATTTATCATAAACATAACTTGTTAAATAAACACTCTAGTCATGAAAAATTCGTGAATATTGTTTCTTTTATGTGACTGTATAGGTTGCAAACAAGGTGGATATATTAAGAGGTCAATCCGAACTCATCTGAAAATATTTACTAATATGAAGTTAGGAACGAGCTACTCAGATTAGACTAAATTTGGGGTTCATTCCGCCCAAGCTACATATATAGAATGTAATTTCTTTATTTATTTTTTTGAACTAATTTTACATGCCTTTGTAATTTGGGGTGGTCTCAGTCCATTGTCAACTCTGGCCTTATCTTAGTTGCAGAAGAAATGAAAATATCAAAACAATTTTTTTTAGCTCCTTCATAATTCACTAAAAGGGAGGATATATATCTAAGTGGATAACAATTATTTTGATTTTCCAAACAAAGTATCATTTTTCTTTGCTATTTATTTATTTATTTAATTTACTTTACAAGATGAGCTAGTGTCACTAGACTAAAGCTCCCTGTGCAAATTCAAGGCAAGTAAATTTGTTCAGCCACACACATTCGATCTCCACGACACAAATTGAACTAATACATTCAAGGTCAGTAATTTATAACACGGCCAGCGAGTGCCAACATCAAATTAATAGTTTATCTTACCCATAAAAATTTGATCGAAACTTTAAACAAAAGAAAAAAAGTTACCAATATTCTATGGAACAGAAAATGTGGTTAGTTTAGTTCCTACACCAAGCAAGTAGAACAAATGATAAAACAGCAGGAAAAAAATGTGTCCTGAGGAGGGAATGAATGGGTACAAAAGCAAAAAAAAAGCGCGCACAGTATCACGAGGCTAAAGCATTCATATCTTTGATGAAAATATAACACGTAAGTTGGTAGTTCACTCCGATAGTCAGTGACACCAAACCGACAACTGCATCCATGACACAATGTAACTATCAAAAATCATATCAAGCAGTGAGACCCTTCTTAGTTCTGCCTTCCCTAAACAGCTGCAAGTTTCTGTTTCTTATCCCAAGGAAGTTAGCCACCACCAGATTTGAGTGTATTGCTCAACCTGCAAATATAAGTTAATACTTGCATAAGGCTCTTTCCAGAAACGACAAATCAAACGGAAGAGAGATAACAATGGTCACTTAAAACGTCCAGTTAGCCACCTCAGCCTATAAAAATAAGTTAAACACTTGCACAAGGAACTTCCAAAAACCGACAATCAAGCAGAACAGAAATAACAATCGTCACTTAAACCAACCACTACCATTGGGGCTTTTTCAACTCCAGATTTGGGGATTGAAGAAACTGCAGTGATGCCGGATGGATGGGAACAACCTCTATTTTTCTGGCTTCTCATAAGAGAGAAGCCAACAATACAACAGTTACACTTTGAATCAATCAAAAACCACTAGTTTATATCAGTTTGGTCAAGCTAGTTTAGCACACATGTTGTGCAGATCTAATAGCTACTTATTCCGCTTCCCTCTCTAAATCAGCTTGTATAAAAGCTCCATAATGACATAAGCCCTAACACGACAACTTATATCCAAAAAGCAAATTAAACTGCGATGCTGCTGCTGACTAGCTATGATGACACGTGTCTAATATCATATAAAACTAGCATGCTGCAACCAGGATATGGATGTGTTAAAATTATGACCTATAATATCTAGCAGCTCAACACTGACATATACATCATTATAGAACTGATCTTACCAATCCAAGCCCTCAAAAAGGCCTTCTCCTTTTATGGCAGAAGTTTTGAAAATAGCCCACTGGCGGTTTTTAATTTTGTGCAACTCTAAGGCCTCAGTCACTGCAGCATCATCGAGTGCACCCGGAAGATCCTGTTGAACAAAAAGGACAATAAACAAAAAAGGAAAGAAAAAAAAAATTACTAGTTTCATAGAAACATTGGTTTGCAGAAGTTGCGAGGCAATGATAAAACAAAATGGCAGCATTTACATGACCCCAACATGAGAAGGTAAATTAAAGGGAAAAAAATAATTCGGACATCTATCCAATTTTGAGTTTCCATCCTATATTTATTTATTTTTTAAAAAAAGAATTTTTAAAAGAGAGTTTTAATGTTTTATACAAAACTCTATCACATAAGTACAAAGAGTTTTTACCAATTCTGAATTTCTATCCATTTTTGAGTTTCTATCCTTTATTTATTTATTTTAAAGAAAGAAATATTAGACTAGAGTTTTATACTCTTATCACATATTTACATATATATTTTTAAAAAAGATTTTTTATTTAAATGATATATTTATTTTTTGAAAAGAGTCTTATTTAGACTCTCTCACATATTTATATATTTAATTTTAAAATATATATATTTAGATATTTAATTTTTTTTAAAAGGGTTTTTATTAATTTTATAATAAGAGTTGCCTTGTGTAATTTGAAGTTTTTATTATTATTATTAAAAAATAGGTTAGAAATAGGAAATTCTTATACGTTTTAAAAGTCCAAAAAGAATTAGAATTGTACGAATACAAAAAGAGTAAAGAATTAAAATAAATTACAAAAGAATTTTTATTATTTGTTTCTATATAGAGTTTTTATTTTTATTTTTAAAGAGTTGCCTTGTGTAATTTGAGTTTTTATTATATATTTTTCCCCAATTTTGAGTTTCTATCCTGTTTTAATTTTCTATCCTATATTTATTTATTTTAAAAGAGTTTTTTTTTTCTTTTCAAAGAGTTGCCTTGTGTAATTTGGAGTTTTTGTTATTAATTTTTTTTTTTCTAAGTCCACTCTCCTATTATTTGAGTGGACCTGTGTATGTCATATTTTATCTTGGTTATTGCTTAAAATATAAATTTTAATATTTATATCATCTGGTTGAGAAATTGTAACTCCTTAAATTTGATCTATACTCTTAAAATCTTATTTTGTACTAGTGAATGTGCAAAAGGACAATACAATTGACTTCAGAAATATTTAAAATTTTAATTACTCAAGAAATTATTTTGTTTTTGATTATTTGTAATCAAAAATAAACAAATTAAATTAGGATTACAAATTAACTTTTGAGTTCACCACATGCACCGCACGCATCTTTTACTAGTAGTCTATAAGAATCCAAAGCATTTTTTTTTTTTTTTTGATAATAAAAATAAAAAAAAAAATTAAAAAAAAAAACAAGAAGTTGCACATTGTGTTCGAAGCAGCAAAAGCTGCTCTGACATAGGGTCACATTAAATGTTATTCGCACAATATGATGTAATCAATTTCTCCAACTAATATATCACAGAGAATAATCAACAGGTTATACACAAACCTGTTTGTTTGCAAAAATGAGGACAACAGCACCTTTCAACTCTTCCTCCTGACAAAAAGGCACAAAAATATGAGTTCACATTATGAAATATCATTTCATGCGTAAATAAATAAATAAGAAGTATTAACAAAATGCATGACATCTCAATCATGCATTGGCAAGATAATTAGAAGCGTTAAATCCAAGCAGGGCGGGCAGTAGATCTACCAGTATTTCCATTCTTTAATAGAAAAGGAGAAGCGAAAATAGAAACAGAACAGACAGCCTACAAAATCTGTTAAAATGAACCAAACATATTTTCGAAAACCATGACAGGAAGAAATTTTAAGCAGCCAAAAGTATCCAGGTACAGCATTACTGCATTCTAATCTCGACATACAATTTTACTACTTCCAAAATAATTGTTCACATCATCTACGCTAAAAATTATTTAGTTGCTCACAACTCATATTTAAAGTATTTTAACAATAAAATACCTATGATAAATATACATACTGTAAGTGACATCTATAAAACAAATTTCAACTACACATGGTAAGAAGCAAAAAAATCAAATAAAAAAACACAAAGATACCAGCAATTTTAATAAATTATCACATGCAAATATAAATCAGCATTCAATTATACCTCCAAAATTGCATGAAACTCCTCTTTGGCAATCGACAGCCTATCAGTGTCACTTGAATCAACAACATAGATTATGGCTTGAGTATTTGGAAAATAACATCTCCAATATGGCCTAAGGCAAACAAAAGAACCAAATCATGGACTTGTAAAATTGATGCAAAATTGTTAATTTGGCAGCCAACCAGACAAACTACGCAAATCAAGTAGATCAAAGTTGCAAAAGTGAAAACATCAACAACTCAAAGAAGAATAAAATGATATACCCTGAAAATTCTCGATAAGCAAGAAAAATTAAAAAACAACACAGGAAAAATTTAGAAATTGATATTCCCTGCTATATCGCAGATCCCAAACAGAATCTCCACTCATCCAATTCAGAATTTCAAATGAGCTAACAACTCTGTTTTTTCTTATTTACAAGTATGTATGAGCCCATCAGCCCAAGTATCATTTTTTCCAAAGTAACACCAAAAGCCAACAATGTTATGCCTTAATTTGATTTTATATATATATATATATATATAAATTAATTGGCATACAACCGGACACAATACCAGAAATTTACAATGAAGGTTGAGTTCAATGTAATGCAGTATGGCAGGATAGAATCATAGTGCAACTAATTTAATGTATTTGTTTATTAGTTTTTATTCGGGGAAGGGGATATTGTTGAATTTCAAAGAAGCCCTTTAGAGCAATTAAAAAAAATCTAAAGAGAATTTCCAAATCATCGGGCTCACTCAGCGGGCTCGCTCAGCTTGTCCTAGGTCCACCACTGGCATTTAACATCTCAAAAATGATCTACTTTAATTAATATTTCATATTTTATTCTTCAATATTTCTGAAATACTTGATAAATATCAAAGGAGCATTGTATATCACTTGAATTCATTGTGGTACTTCTTTGAGATCATAATAGAATAAAAGCTGACTCACGGCCATAAACTTCTCAAAAAAAAGGAATTGATTTTTGGGTGAGATGAAAATGAATAATAGATTCTTCAAAGCCCATATTGGTCAAATCTACATTTTCCTATATGCATTACAACTTTTGAACACATTCAGTTTCTCCTTCACCTTTATTATTATTATTATGAAAGAAATCATGAAAATTCTCTCATCTTTCCTTCGATTTTATTGCACAAAGTTTTAGATATTTATGATTCATTTGGTACAAATAATGAGAAGAGGATAGAAGAAAGGATACAAGGGATGAAAGAGCCATCATAGGAATCCTTCCCTCTTTTTGTTTGGTTTAGTTGAAGAGATGGGAAGGAGGTGACACTTTCCATTGTTTGGTAAGAGGGAAGAAACAGGAGGTTTTGAATTTTTACACCAATACACAAGCACAAGATTTGGTGAAGGACAATAATGTCACTTCAGATTTATATAATAGTTCCTTTCACTCCTTCCTTCCACTCAATTTTAGACGGTTGAAAAATGGTGCTGGAAGGGATGCCTTATCCATCCTTTCTTCCCTTTCATCTTCTCTTATACCAAATAATAGAACAAACTTGCTTCCTGCCCCCCCCCCCTTAAAAAAAAAAAAATGTCACTTCAGATATATATAATAGTTCCTTTCCCTCCTTCCTTCCACTCAATTTTAGACGGTTGAAAAATGGTGCTGGAAGGGATGCCTTATCCATCCTTTCTCCCCCTTCATCTTCTCTTATACCAAATAATAGAACAAACTTGCTTCATCCCCCCACCACCAAAAAAATAAAAATAAAAAATACTCTTCCTTCCCTCCTACCAAACAAAGACTAAGAATTTAGTTAAATATTGTTTATTTGCAAGTTTATGGTCCAGTTGTCTTTGTACTTCACCTATTTTATCACCAAAAGAAACTTATTTCATTCTTAGCCATTTTGAAATTTTTACTTTGTTCAATCATATTTTGCCAGTCTTTTATGGGTTTAACGTTGCCCTTGACCTAAATAAAAAATTTAGCAAAAGACGTAACATATTAAGCTCCAAGGAAACCTCATGTGTTATTATACTAATTCTAATTCTTGGCATTCTACAGTGTTCAATAGTTCCTAGTTGGCTACATTATTCTCACATTTTGGTATTTTAGGCATTATTTTCAATTGTATTCCATGAGCAACAAAGATAACTAACTCCACCATTAAGGAGTAAACATTTCAAGTGGGAAGTATTCCAATAACACACAAAAAAAAAAAACAACTGTGTTTATATGTGCAACTTCAGATCTATAAAGTTTCTCAAACTTCCACCCTCTAATAAAGTGAAACTTAACTTTGAAAGAGGTTCCATATTTAAAGAAGTTGATTTGGTATAGAAGAAAATTTTGAGAGACCAAAAAGGTAGCTAAATTTTTGCTGTTTCCATATCATATCTCAAGGCAGATACTACAAAAGCCATGTAAGGAGCTCTTTGGATGATCTAATGGAAGCATCGTCTCAAGGATTTCATAACTTAAATGTAAAAAATATATAAATGACATAAATGGATCAAAGGAGCAGCAGGTGATCCTTCTTCCCAACATATCAAAGAAGCAACAGACAAATCAGGGAGCTTCGGAGTGCTACGCCTAGAAGTACTAACTAAAAATGGATCTTTCCATCAAAGAGAAGAGCAAGAAATCTAGAAATACCATACACATTTGGATATATGGCTTCTTCTTTGTTCCAGCATTCCACTTTCTTTCTTGTATGGGCAATTTTTTGGGGGTAGAGTTTTGGTGAGCAAACATTTTAAAGTCTTCATCACTTTTATAGTTCCCTCTTCTTGCTAAAAAATTCCTATTCTATCAGGAGGAAAAACATGGCATTCAAGGAATTTATATAGGATATGGCCTAGGTGCAAGATGAAAAAAAGGAATTCAATGCAGCTGAACCAAATAGTTGGTAGTTAAGATGTTGAATTCATTTCTGAATATATCATTTGATATTGATTCTATATAATAAAGTTTGAGGATTCTAGACTCAAAACTACCATGACCAACCTTTTAAAACATTCTAGCATCCAATTCTAACAAACTCAGATAGGAGCGCATCATAGGAATTTTTTGAAAAAATTAACATCTATGATTTACCCAGCCAATAGGCTGGGTCCACACCCCCTCTCCCCATCCCCATTGGAACTTGAACACTGGCCATCCCCTATGGTGATGCCAGAAGGCACCACCTAGGCTACCAGAATAACAGTTAAAAGGCATAAAAAATTATGCTAATAGTTTTGCCGATTCAGATCAGAAGAAGGCATCTTCTTCTAAAGGAACATGTAGAGTTTGCCTATTCAGAACAACAGTTAAAAGGCTTAAAAAATGATGCTGAGAGTTTTGCATATTCAGATCAGACGAAGGCATATTCTTCTAAAGGAACATATAGAGTTTATGTGAATACTGACAAGCAAGGCTATCAGTATTACTATTTAGAAAGACCTGGGGAGAATTACTCCAGTCTATGAGGCTCCAACATCACCATGAAAATAATTTTATAAAAACCATTCATTCCATGAGTCACAGCAGAAAAAGAAACAATTGACATAAAGTGAACTTTTTCCAGAAGCTAATTGCTGGGATAATAGTCTCACAATATAAATCAAAGTAGAAAGTAAGGATACATTACCATACCCTTAGAATAAAGTTAAAGAAATGAGATAGTACTGTAACAGGGAGGATCGTACACCAATTTATTGAATATTCTTTTTTTTTAAACTTTGTACACATGATTAAGCTGAATCCCTTGTGATCACATACCATTGAAGTGAAGCAGATTGTGTGACATGCAATGAAAATCTAGAATATATCTCAATGATATTAGAATCTTTATGATGATAAGAGAACAATTTTAAGAACACTAAATTAAATTTTTTTAATTAACTCCAAGAAATTAGTAAGATTTGCTCTCTGGCGCTTCCCAGCATACCATTCAAAGAAGTCCAGGGGAGTTGCGGAGTTGAAGCCTAACTGGAACGTGATTGTGTGTGTAATTGCTATAAAAATTATTAAAGGAAATAATTAAAAATTTAAAAAAAAAAAAAAAGCAAAAAGGAAAAAGAAAAAAGTAAAGAAGAAGGCACTAGCAATGCTGACAAGGCAACAAGATTGTCAGAATTTCACCCTTTCTTTTGACTTTGATACCATCTTGATGTTCAAGAAATCCTCAAAGAGATGTCAGCGATAAGGTACACATGCATGCATGGATTTTTTTAATGAGGTGTGAATGTATTATATGCCCTAAAAGAGGTCATGTTGCAAGCATGTAGCTTATTGATTTCATGTCTCTAACAAGATTCCAGCAGCATCTTAGGAAGAATTGAAGTGGAACACCATTAGAACTCAAGGCTGAGAAAAAGATTGCAGCAGCATCTTAGGAAGAATTGGAAGTGGAACAACATTAGAACTCACGACTGAGATCAACTGCCAAAATAATTGTAGGATTGCTCATCATGGACAAGTCTAATAGGTGACAGATAATTAACTAAGCTACGGAAAAGCGGCAAAAGAGACATCCAAATGCAATGAATAAGAAAACTGCAAACTTATATTCACAAACTGACGAAAGCCGTGAATCTATGCATCATAAGTACAAAACCAAAACATTAAAAATAAATAAATAAATCCTTGACTGGTATTTGCTTATCAAAAAATAAATCCATGACTGACAAAATTAAAATTTACAATCCTACCAGTGAAAATCAAACAGCACGATATTCATATGGCAAATCATAAAGCCATAAACCATGTAAAGACAATGTTGTCTTACAAGAAAAGAAAAACATAATCCATATCATTACGACATAAGTGGAATAAGAGGTAAGAAATGTCTAATAGAGAGGTCACCTGATACTAGTCTGCCCACCTGTATCATCAATAAACAACCGTATTAGAACAAGAAATTGACATGACTTTTTATTTTTGCTTTATAGAACTACCAGCTTAACTGAAAAATAAATTTAATGAAAACTACTATTTGAAACTTCTCACTGCAACAAGAAAAGTGATTATCAATAGTACAGGTTCTCCATAATAAATGGTAAACCAATTAATACACATGACTATTTTTTTTTATATGTGACCAATAAAAAAACATCAATATGAACAACCATAAATTACAAGTGATTATTGCTCCATATTACACCAATCAACAGGTCAGAACAAAATCTGCCACCAATTTGAAATTAACCCTATAAAGTTTGATTATATACCAGGACACGGTGAAGGAAATTGATTACCAGTGATGAGATCAAGTCAAGGACAAGCTAATAGACCCGGGTAAAGAACTCGCAAATGTACTTCTCTAGACTAGACCTTTACCCATATATAAGGAAACGATAAAATGAAAATATTCTCCCCAAAAATATAGCCCAAATTTCAATTTACCACCAAAACCAAAATAAGATCTTACAAAAGCAGACCTTAAGTGATGAACATTTGATGTGGTGGGTCTCCTTGTTGGCTTGCTTCAAATTCTAAAGTTCTAAATGAGCTGCATTGACTGGATTTCAAATCAAAATTTTCTTTTTGCTAGTGGGTACAACAAAAACTACTAGCTTCCTTAGGAAGCTTTTAACTGACTTGCAGCTAAAGACGTGTTCCTGAATAACACATGTAATATTCTAAAGCAGTGCACCAAAAATACCAGCTCTCAATGAAATAAAGAAAACCACCTAGAAAAGTTTGCCCTCATCGCCCAAACTAAAGCAGATGAAATTCATCAAACTTTTTTTTTTTAAACTCAATAATAAAACTTAGCATAAACAAATCTAATTAAGAATGGCTAGAGTTTAACTTTATATTTTTAATTCCTTCAGTTAAAAAGCAAAAACAAAAAAGATTTTTATATATAATTGAATGAAAACAACAGTAAGCTGGGTATGCCATTTTGAGGTTATGGTTGAAGCTTTGCTAACAACAGGGATGGACCCAAGAATTTGTGTAGGGGAGGCAATAGTGGGATTTTTTTGTAATTTCAGGGGGACAATATGAAAATTTCATAGGTATATAATTCAAAAAAGGAAAATTCAATAGTATTAATACTAAAAAATATATTAAAAAAACAAAATAAGTGGGGGCAATTGCCCCCACTGACAATACACTAGATCACTCCCCGACTAACGACATGAGTCCATGACACTTACATGGAAAACAATATAAAATTGCTCAAAATTCCAGTCATAATCATATTCCTATATGGTGAACATCCTTCAACAACCAATATCTGAACCTAAAAAACATTCTGAAAAAAAATTGGGTAGTAAATTTTGTAGCAGAAGAGACTACATTTTTCAATAATAGCATCAATGGGTGATCTCTTCATGCAATCAATGCTCAGCACATTTGAGATCAAAACTCCAAAGTAAATGCATAACCTTGAAACCATTCCTATGGTATTTTCTTAGGAGAAGCCATTCCTATAGCACATGAGTGATGAGTAGCATCTCCAACACTATGGTCTTTCAGTAATGCTATTCATCATGTGTTGATTCTTCAATATGATTTATTCAATTAATAAGATTCCAATGAGTTAGCATCATTGACTTGTCCAGATAATTATTATTTTTTGATAAGTTACTAGCCCAGATAATTACCAATAACCAAACACCCAATGCCACAAGCATATACTCTAAATCTGCTTATTCTTCCATCCCAAATCCCAAGAACTAGCATATATCAATTCCAGACCAATATCTATCGACATAGTGGTTGCAGAACAGCATTTGAGTTGACATTTCCGGTTAATGTTAATACCTGGTACACAGTAACCAAAACTTCATGTTCCGTAAAGTGTTTGCCACCATTAAAGAAATATCCATGATAAGATTTACTTCAATTTTCTGCCAAAAAAAATATATAAAAAGATGATTTGAGTAAATAATTGGCATACCCAGATCCCAAACTTGAAACTTTATGTTGTTGTATTGCACTGTTTCCACATTAAACCCAATTGCTGCATCAGAAGTATACAAAAGGATAAGTCTAAACCTCCAGAAAATCGGGTGAGATCAATATGAGAATAAAAGAAATTATGCTCCATTTGGGTGGTGAGAAGATGTTCTTATATTTGGGACTCCAGAAAACAATAACTTCCATTCAACTGAACTTCATAGAATAACTGGCTAATACTAAAAGCATACAATTCATTTTTTTTCCTTTTCTGTCAGTTTTAGAATATAATCAAGCAAACGAAAAATTGAAGTTGATAACAGAAGAACAAGAACTGAGAAAGAGTACCAACTTGGAATGGTGGAGACAACTTCACCCATCTGGAGCCGATCTGGACAAAACCCAATTGACACATTGAATTTATCGTAGACTGGTAAAACCCACAATACAAAAGGAATAATAAAAAGAGAAAAAGGGTCAAATCAAATAAACATACAGAGAATTGTGGTTTTTCCAGCATTGTCGAGGCCGAGAACAAGGATCCGAGCTTCTTTGTTACCAAATAGTGTAGAGAACAATTTAGTAAACATAATACCCATTTGTGTATTTACTTTTAGAGAGAGATATCAATTTTTCTTCAATAGAATTCCGATCAGATCTGTAGAGCAGAACCCTATTCCTCTCTGCAAAACGCAACGCAACCAATGACTTCATATAATACATTAAATATAGAGAGATAGAGGAGAGAGAGATCTGAAGGTGTTGAAAATGGAATAACGTACCTAGGAAAAGAAGAGGGCCTGCATGAGAGTTGTGATCTACTGCTCCGGGATCAATTCGAGATATCAAAAAGTGAGTAAAAGCTCCGAATCGCGACTGAGAACGATGAATAGCTCACGACCCTCTTGGCTTTCTCAGAATCCCAAGCGGAGATTGTAGACCCAAAAGCAGAAAACCAATAACGTTCAGTCTTTGGTGGAGTTTCTAATACCAGGTTTTTAAAAAATAAAATAAAAATACAGTAAATAATAAACTTCTTCTAAATACAGAGAAATTGTTAGATGGCCTGTATAACGGGCAGGCTTGTCCATTTATCTAAATGTTGAAACGGGTGGTACTGTATATCCACAAGAACGTTGGGTAGTGTTGCATACCCACTTATTTATAATCAATTATTTTTCCATTCAGATCTCATATACGACGAATGACCCCTTTTAACATTCTCCCTTACCCGAACTTGCAATGCCCTCGTTGTGATCGGGTCACCCTGCTTACTCGGGTGAGTCACTTGGACGTCATTCGGGCCCGGCGCTTGGCGTGACACCAGATTAAGGATTAGGTCTGAATCTGATACCAAATGTAACGGGTAGGCACTTGCCTATTTATCCAAGAACTCAATTTGTTAGATAATGTTGCATACCCACCTATTTATATCTTTCTCATTATGTGGGACAACTGAGTCCCATAACAGCTGGGGATTAGCTCGGTCAATTAGAAATCAACACATTATTAAAATTGATACATTTATTTATATATGAAGTAAATAATAAATATATGTAGGTTCTAATAAACTGCCCTATAGTTAGGTTTATTACGCTTCTGTATTATGTTTTAAAGAATTACAATTACCTCATGTCCAATTACATATACGTAATAAATTACTCTTCAGTTATAGTTGATGTGGTGAATGTTGTTGTGGTAAATACTTTTATCAAATATTTATTATGTGAAACAACTATCATTCTTCAATTCATCTTTTTTCACAATAAGTATTGAAAACAAATATTTTATATATTTGTCATATGAAGCTAAGAAACTTAGACCAATTTTAATTTTTAGATAGATAAGTTGTTATACACATGTAATTAGATGGGAGGTAATTGCATTTATCCAAAACACATAATAGGTAAGTGCAATATGTTGGTAAAATATATACTTCAAGTGATATTTAAGATATAACTAACTCTATATTAATATGCAATAAGATATTTGTAATATGCTAAAAATAATTAATTAAATATGCAAATATATATTTAATTAAATATGTAAAATAAAGTAATAAATTAATAAATAATAAATAAAGAATTTGGACCGAGGCTAGTATTGAATACTATGTCTTTAAGACAGATTCGCCCCGCTATGTTGCTAACGGACTCAGTGGCGTCTATCTCCTAGGATACAACGGTCTACATCCACCAGTAGCAGCACTACAAACTCGTGGATACGGCGAACCTCCTTCGTGTAATACTTTTTCTGACTCAAAAATGCATCTATACTATATAAATACCGAATTGGATGCAATCTAAATCAAATGGTTCGGACCAATCTTAATATGGCTCAATAAAATTGGATCAGGGTCTAAGTGGCTCGGACCACTTGACCTATAGTTTGAACCCACTTGGTTTGGGTTCAAGTCTAGAGAGGGAGAGAGAAGAAAAATGAAAATGAAATGATTTGCAAATGATCCAAATAGGGGTATTTATAGGTAACAAAGTGCCTTTTCGGGTGGGTGGAACCCTTTGGAAAAAAACTAAAAAGTAATTTTTAAGTAAGATGCCTTTTCGAATTGGGTGTAACCCTTTGGAAAAAAAAAAACTAAAAAGTAGTTTTTAAATAAGGTGTCTTTTCAGATTGGGTGCGTCTCTTCATCATTGGACACAACCATTTATACGTGTCTTTTCACACTGGACACACCGACTCCAATTGGTTGCAATGGTTCACTTCTTGTCTGTTCACCAATAGACACATCCATTCCAATAGGTTGCAATGGTTCACATGGTGTATGTTCACCAATAGACACATCAATTCCAATATGTTGCAACACTTTAGAAACAGATGCAACTCTTTGGAAAATAGATGCAACCCTTTGGAAATAGATACAACAATTTGGAAAAAAAAAAACTAACTTTTAATTTAAATTCAAAAACCAACCACCCATTTAAATAAGCCCAGCCCAAAATTAAAGACTCAATCCAAGATTCCATTTAGTAAAAAAGAATAATTGGACTTTACAATTAGGCCCAAGCCCAAGCCCAAGCCCAAATTTGGCTTATTTAAATTTCAATTGGTTTCAACATTTTTTCCATGTGGGACAAACACTTCCCACAGTTTGCATACCCATTTAGGCTTATCAAAACACCATACTTTGGAGTTAATTTCTCATTTACCCGGAAACAGATTTAAGAAAGTAAATATACCACGTTCATCTCCTCGCGGAGAGAAACAAGCTCGTCTAGAGATCCGCAAAAAATTCTTAATGGAATCTATTCCAAATCTCATCCAAAGTTTATGTTTTTAATGCCCCCGTTTCCAACAATCCCCCACATGAATGAAAATTTGCGTAAAATGTAACAGATGATCATGCAGACACTAGAGAGAGTATAGTCGGAAATTTACTGCATCAGGATAGGTAGCTTTTGGCTTTGAACCTTCCCTAGTGTATTGTTATCGGATTTACTGACTAACCAATGAACATAATGTCTTGAAATGTTCAGCCGTTTGTGTAAACCAAGACAATAACAAACACACAGTACCCTTCCTCACGAAGTTGGTTCTCATTGTTGTGTTCATTTTGACCCTGAACAACTCCTGGTATTCATGAGTGCTCTAGAAAACTTAGCCTTTATAGTTCTCATAAAGCAGCCCCACTTCACACTCATACAAGTGACTTCTTATTAAGAGTATCCTACCATACCCCATTTGAATTTTCAAGGTATAATAGTCATTAAAAGCGTAACTTATCCTAATCATCGCTGTAGGTAGCAATGTCTCATTATAGAAATGGGTAGAAGATTTATATCTTCCCAGTGCTTTCGGTGAGTCACTCAGAATTTCTATTGTCCCTTTGAACCTAGATCTTAGGATCTCCAGTCAACTAGGTTGGGTTTCCATTAAGGTGACTCATTAGCTTTCGGTTTTTAATCCCATTCCCCTCGATGAACTGTACAATTGCTCTATAGTACAACCCTCAATTTTATAAGTGGCCACAAGGTTGTGTTTAGAAATATTACACTCTGCAAAGATTTCTCTAGGTGAGAGCAATTGTATACTTTGTGCCCTAAATTGCTTATTGTTAGCAATATTATTTTCTTTAGTGGCACAGGTGTAGACTTACTTTGAAATGTCCTCTAGGTGAAGTCTATTAACTAGCCTATTTAATTTATTCAAAGTTTCTAACTTTGAGTTATATTAAGAACATATAACTACACCTTTAATATTAAAGACATATCACTTTTGGATTTGAATTTTTTAATATCCCACATCCAGATTCCATCACTGTTACACCTTCAATTTAGCTAGATACCTTGATCTATACAATATTGGACTTAAGGTGTTTCTCAACTACCCAATTTGTTGTTTTTCAGTGATTCTATCCTAGATTGAAAATGTGCAATTAAGATGCCTTGCAATCTTAACCAATGATATACTTTGACTAGTATTTATATTTGAGATTTACATCTACAAAAGTTAGTTAGACTTTTGTTTTAATAACTAGTGTTATCTCAATCTCACTTTATTGGAAATATATTATGTTATCAGATGTTAAATCTTTCATATCAAATATATCAATTAGTATATCATTTATTTTTTAAGGCATACAATGACTTATGCATCACATCATTGTCTCAATAGTAGCTTTAATCCCTTCAAGGACTTATAAGCTTGCACACTTGACTTTTCAACTGGAACAAATAACTCAGCTTTTCCGCTGGAATAAGAACTCTTCTAGTTGTTCCATAATATTTTTCCGGTAGGAAACAACATGTACTATTGTTATAATACTATAAATGATTTTTGGTTCTATCCAAAATCTCTTATGATTAAGAACCATACATTTATAAGTATTTCTTATCTAGTGAGGTAACTCATAGCAAATTTCATCTATGGACAGTATCCCCCCATAACTTTGGAATAATCCTGAAATTTTATATATGATATATTTTTATGGTTTTCCAACTCTTGAAATACCAAAAATTAAATATTTTACCTCATCTACCTTTTCAAGGTTCTATATTCGTTTCTCAACATACATGTATACCAGTTTCTAATGCATATGTATTAACTTTATCTCTAGTTTATTCTTATAATATGTCAGAGATGTTACTATGAATTAATGCTAGAGATATTAATTACAATGGGCTCTAATTAATATTTACTTCTACATCTCTTGTATTTATGAATTGAGTTATTCATATTTAGGTTCATGTTAAGTCAGTCATATTAACACATCATAACCTTTCATGTGTCACATATCACATAACTCAATCATTTAAGCAAATGATTCTCATATTATTTAAGCTTTGGATACAATCACCACAGAGTGAGCACTCACTTCTCAGCTATCATTGCTAGCTTGAAGTTAAGTTTATTTAACTATCAATTCTAGTAGCTCACAGCTTTAGTACACACTTATCTAAGTAGTCTACCTTGGTAGTAGAGTAATTTATTTTAAAGAATAGTCTTCAAAAACTACTACTTTACAAGTAGTATTATTACCTCCTACATGAGCAGATATGATGTATAGTTGGCTAAAATAGCTACTCATCACCCTCGTGTTTTTTATTACCAAGTTGAGAGTTAGAACCAACTAACAGATTTTCATCTTCCTCTTAGGTTCTGTGCACCTCATTAATCATTTTAGCTTATAACTAAGTTAACTAGTTTGCAACTCAATAACATTTTAACTTTTAGCTAAATTGTACATTGAGCTAATTAGCTCGATTTAGCTTGTCTCAGTGTACTAGCATAGTGTATCCATAACATTTTCCATTAAACTCTTTAGAGTTATCAGAAAATCTTTTCTTATTTAGCCTATTCACAACTATACGTGTCTTAAACACTAGTATAGATCTTTTTCCCTTAACTATTAGGAGAATTGACATAACTAGACTAGTCAATTTTTGTCTGTTGTATTAAATATACAAACCAGTCATGAACTCATACAAATATAATAATATCACACATTAGATAAATTATAATGCACA